ACTTATGCAACCATATTATTTTAGTTTTTTATTTTTACTTTCCTCCACCTAAAAGATTTCAGTTTGTTATTATTATTATAGAGTATATAGCGCCAAAGGGTTTGCTCAGCGCTGTACATTAGAATGGGGGACAAGACATGAGACAATACAGTAGCAAAACAATACACAAGGGTTAGAGGGCCCTGCCCTTTCGAGCTTACAGTCTAGGAGGGAGGGAATGGTGATACAGGAGGAGATGGCTGTGGGGGATGGAATGGAGTGAGGAGTGGAGGGGATCGGCTGTTAGGTGAGGGTGGGGTAGGCTTCCCTGAAGAGATGGGTTTTCAGGGTGCACCTAAAGGTGAGGAGGGTAGGGGAGAATCTGATGGATTGGGAAAGTGAGTTCTAGAGGATGGGGGAAGCTCTCGAGAAGTCCTGCAGTCGGGCTTGGGAGGTGGAGACCAGGGAGCTAGAGAGTAGGAGGTCTTGCGAGGAGCGAAGATTAGGGGTAGGGTGGTATTTGGGTATCAGGTCGGTGAGGTAGTTTGGGGCAGCGTTATGAATGGCTTTGTATGTCAGTGTTAGTAGTTTGAATTTGATGCGTTGGGCAATCGGGAGCCAGTGGAGGGAATGACAGAGGGGGGTGGCAGAAGTGGATCGGTTGGTAAGGTGGATGAGTCTGGCCGCTGAGTTCAGGATAGACTGGAGCGGGGATAGCTTGTTTTAGGGTAGGCCGGTGAGAAGGGAGTTGCAGTAGGCCCAGGCGTGAGATAATAAGGGAGTGAACGAGTTGTTTAGTAGTGTCTGGGGTTAGGAACGAGCATATTTTGGAGATGTTGCGGAGGTGGAACCTGCATGCGGTAGTCATCGATTGGGCATGGGGTTGGAAGGACAGGTTAGAGTCTAGGATGACACCTAGGACCTTGGCTTGCGTGGTGGGACTGATGGTAGCGTTGTTGGTCGTGATGGAGAGGGTGGGGGGATGGTGCGGGCAGGGGGGAAAATTAGGAGCTCGGTTTTGGAAAGGTTCAGTTTGAGGAAGTGGAGCGACATCCAGTCCGATATGTCGTTCAGTAGGTGGGTGATACGGGCGGAGAATGAAGGGGTGAGGTGAGGGGTGGAGAGGTAAATTTGCGTGTCATCTGCGTAGAGGTGATAGTTGAAGCCATGGGAGTGTAACAGTTTGCTGAGGTAGGAGGTGTAGATGGAGAAGAGAAGGGGCCCGAGGACAGAGCTTTGGGGGACCCCAACAGAGAGGGGGAGGTGGCATTGTTATAGGTAACGCTGAAGGAGCGTTGGGATAGATAGGAGGAGAGCGCGGAGTCTCTGATGCTAAGGGAGTGTAATTTGTTAAGTAGGAGGGGGTAGTCAACTGTGTCAAAGGCCGCGGAGAGGTAAAGGAGTAAGAGGACAGAGTAGTGTCCATTAGCTTTGGCGGATAGCAGCTCGTTAGTGATTTTGAGTAGGGCGGTTTCGGTGGAATGTTGGGGGCGGAAGCCGGATTGTAGAGGATCGAGGAGGTTGTTGTCCGTGAGGTGGGCGCTTAGGCGATTGTAAACTAAGCGCTCGAGGAGCTTGGAAGGAATGGCAGCAGTGAGATGGGTCTGAGTTTGTTCAAGTCAGTGGGGTCCAGGTAGGGTTTTTTGAGTATGGGGGTGATGTGGGCGAGCTTTAGGGGGGAGGGGAATGTGCCAGTAGAGATGGAGACATTGAAGATGTGGGTGAGGGAGCGCAGGATGGAGGAGGAGGGTGAGCGGAGGAGTTGCGAGGGGACGGGGTCAAAGGGGCAAGTGGTGAGACAGGCTTTTGAGAAGACCTTAGTGACCTCAAAGGTAGCAGGGCTGAAGGAGTGGAGTGTAGGGGAGGTGAAGCTGTGCGGGATGTTCGGTGTGGTGGGTGGGAGGGCGGTAGCGAAGGTCAGAGGAAGGGAGAGTTGATGGGGCTATGGTGGGGGGGGAGGCCAGGTGGGGAGGTGGGTTGAGCATTGGTGATGTCCTTACGGATTGCATCGATTTTAGAGAGTGTTCGGAATCTCGTGGGCGTGAGTGAGGTACTGGAGAGGGAGGTGGAGAAGAGCTGGGATTAGAGGAGAGGGTGTTAATGAGGGTTATGAAGTAGGCTTGTTTGGCTGCGTGGAGGGAGGAGGTGTAGGTGAGAAAAGCGGATTTGTAGGGGGAGAAAGCTTGGGGGGATCTAGTTTTGCGCGATAGGCGTTCCAGCGCGCGACTGCGTTAAGATTTTTTGTGTGGTCATTCTGCCAGGGTTGGAGTGGTCGGGGTCTGGTGCTGCGTGTGGTTGGGGGTGCCAACGAGTCTAAGGCAGCTGATAGCAGGTTGTTGTACGCAGTAGTGGCCAGGTCAGGGCATGACAGTGGAAGGATGCTGTCGTAGAGACAATCAGCTGCAGAGTGGAGAGGGGCAGGGTCCAGGTTGTGGAGGTTGTGGCTGGTGATTTTTTGATGTGGGGGGGAGGTGTGGGAGGACCAGGAGATGGAGAACGTAATGAGGTTGTGGTCAGAGAGAGGGAAATGGGTGTTTGAGAGGTTACAGGGGGTGCAGCGATGGGAGAAGACGAGGTCTAGGGTGTTACCGTCAGTGTGGGTGGAGGACTGTGTGCACTGTGTGAGCTCAAAGGAGGAGGTTAAGCGGATGAGTTGGGAGGTGGTCGGATTGTTGACATTGAAGGGGATATTGAAGTCTCCAAGGATGAGGGTGGGTAGCTCAGAGGAGAGGAAGAAGGGTAGCCAGGCGGTGACTGAGTTGTACAATTTATAGGTCACATTAAAGGTGAAAAAACGTGACATTTTAACAGGAGTGTGTACACTTTGTATATCCACTGTATGTGAGAACATGTTCCATTTGAGTGCATTGTTTTGTGCATTATTCTTCAAATGCAGTGCAATGAGACCAGTGTCAACATGCCCTAGTGGATTTTCATATCTAATGGCTTTATTTCCCCCAAAATCAGTCTTGTGCCCAACTAATGTTATAAAACTCTTTTTGATATTTTGTTTTCTTGTTTAACAAGCAAAGGCTGTGTTTAACTTGCTTTGCCTGCAGTTGAAATGTAGGAAAACAATGCCCACCAATGTGCCCTTAAGCTGGGTGCACACTAGTTTTTTTTTTTTTTTGTTTCTGTGCAACCCAGCAGGCTGAACGAAAAAAACTGACCGATCGTTGTACTAACACAGGCGATGCTAGTGTGGCAATCCCTCCCGCTGTGCCTCTGTGTTCCGACTATCCCCACCAGAACATGCTGCCTTTGCTGATCAGATGCTTTTCCAGCATGCCTCATTCGTCAGACTGCCTTCTGTCAAACAGACAGCTGTACACACGGGCAGAAGGTTGGCTGGTTCCTGCGGAACCGACTGATTTCGGCCTGTGTGTACAAGGCTTTATTCCCTTGTCTGAAATAAACAGAAACTTGATTGGCTACTGTTAGTTACTGAAGTTTGCCTACTATAGTTTGTTCTTTTGTCATATTTTTTAATAAACTGGTCTGTTAAAAAGGCAAAGTTAATTAGGATAAAAGACCTTCACTCATTACGTTCAGCCACTTCCAGATCCTGCAGCAACTAGCAGTAGATGTTGGAGAGCTGAAGCCTTTAAAGATTTCTTGGATCTTCTGGGGGGGATCTTTGTAGTTAAGGGATGTAATAATCGTGTAATTTTAACCAACCTGAATTTGACCTGGTATCAGCCTTTTGCAGTGCCTGCACATCACAGTTCAGCCTGGGAGAGGAAGAATCAGCACAAGGAGCCAATCAGTTGTTGATGCAGTGCAAGGGGCAATGCTGATAGAAGAGAGAGCAGAGAGATGGGCTAATTAGTCTGCTTCTTCTCCCCTTACTGTCCAATCACATGAAGAGGGTGGAGAGGAGACCTGTAAGTTTTAATGAACTGCTGCATTGAAAAATTGTGTAAATCTCAAAACTGAATGGCCAGAAATGCCAACCATTTTTCAGGTAAAACTGCTTCCTAATGCTCTCCATCTTTGTGTGCTGTTTTTTGCCTGGAATTCACCTTTAACTAAGTCAAAGCATGCACATTTCAAAGACAGAGACAATGATTTGTAATAAAGTTGGAGGTGATGGATCTTTAAACTTTGACAAGACACACTTGTCTTGTTAAAACAAATAAATAAAACTTGACCCATACGTTTTCAAACAATTTTTGTTCTGACTGAAGATTTTCTTAAAGGAAATTTGTCATTAAAGTGGGACTTTAGTCAGAAAATTAAGTCCTGCCAGATCACTACTGGTCACGCCAGTCCTATTTGCAGGTATAGCTGTGTAAAACATTAAAAATAATAAAACTACTTTTTAAAATCCAGTAATACACTGTCTCACCCTGTTGTGCACATGCTCAGTTGCTCTCTAATTTTAGGCACTGTGCCGAATTTGTAGCAGTCGATCTGCTGCCCGTCTAAACATTTACTGCTGCTGAGGGGCTTTGGGCTTCAGCCTCCAGCAAGAAGAAAGAGGAGCAATGCTGGAGAAAATTTACAGCACACACTAGTTTTGGTAGCAGAATTATTAATGTGGAATGTATGTTCCTTACTAAAGAACATCATTTTTTATCAAGTTGTTATGGGTAAAGTTCCGCTTTAAAGAAATGTAGGATTTGATTTACTACAACTGGAGAGTGCAAAATCTGGTGCAGCTGTGCATGGTACTGTAGCCACTCAGCTTCTAACTTCAGCTTGTTCAATTACCGTATTTTTCGCTCCATCAGACGCACTTTTTTTTCCCCCAAAAAATGGGGGAAAATGTCTGTGCGTCTTATGGAGTGAATATGGAGCAGCCGGCCCGGAATTCCTGCCGCCGCCATGTTAGAATACTGGGATGGCTGATCGGCTCTTCTGTGCTCCTCGGTTCTACCTGTTCCTCGGTCCAGCGCTGTCCTCACCGTCTTCTCTCCCAGGGCCGGGATCTTTAGTGTGGGCACCCGGCTGTGACAGCTTGCAGGTTCACAGCCGGGTGCCCACTGCGCATGCGCGAGAAGTGCTGCGCTTTGTGAATGGTCCGGCAGTCTTCTGGGACCTGTCATGTGTCCCAGTAGACGGGGAGGGAGGACAATTCCGTGGGAGTGGGTACCTGTCAAATTTGGGTACCCGCTCCACCCCCATCCTCTGCTCCCCAAAGGTCTGCAGTGTTTGGTCATCTCCTGTAGTATGGCCGCAGTCTCTGGTCATCTCCTGTACTGTGTCCGCAGTCTCTGGTCATCTCCTGTACTATGTCCACAGTCTCTGGTCATCTCCTGTAGTATGGTCGCAGTCTCTGGTCATCTCCTGTACTGTGTCTGCGGTCTCTGGTCATCTCCTGTACTGTGTCCGCAGTCTCTGGTCATCTCCTGTAGTATGGCTGCAGTCTCTGGTCATCTCCTGTACTGTGTCCGCAGTCTTTGGTCATCTCCTGTAGTATGGCCGCAGTCTCTGGTCATCTCCTGTACTGTGTCCGCAGTCTCTGGTCATCTCCTGTACTGTGTCTGCAGTCTCTGGTCATCTCCTGTAGTATGGCTGCAGTCTCTGGTCATCTCCTGTACTGTGTCCGCAGTCTCTGGTCATCTCCTGTAGTATGGCTGCAGTCTCTGGTCATCTCCTGTACTGTGTCAGCAGTCTCTGGTCATCTCCTGTACTGTGTCTGCAGTCTCTGGTCATCTCCTGTAGTATGGCCGCAGTCTCTGGTCATCTCCTGTAATATGGCCGCAGTCTCTGGTCATCTCCTGTAGTATGGCCGCAGTCTCTGGTCATCTCCTGTACTATGTCCACAGTCTTGGTCATCTCCTGTAGTATGGTCGCAGTCTCTGGTCATCTCCTGTACTGTGTCCGCAGTCTCTGGTCATCTCCTGTAGTATGGCTGCAATCTCTGGTCATCTCCTGTACTGTGTCCGCAGTCTCTGGTCATCTCCTGTACTGTGTCTGCAGTCTCTGGGCCGCAGTCTCTGGTCATCTCCTGTAGTATGGCCGCAGTCTCTGGTCATCTCCTGTAGTATGGCCGCAGTCTCTGGTCATCTCCTGTAGTATGGCCGCAGTCTCTGGTCATCTCCTGTAGTATGGCCGCAGTCTCTGGTCATCTCCTGTACTATGTCCACAGTCTCTGGTCATCTCCTGTAGTATGGTCGCAGTCTCTGGTCATCTCCTGTACTGTGTCTGCGGTCTCTGGTCATCTCCTGTACTGTGTCTGCGGTCTCTAGTCATCTCCTGTACTGTGTCCACAGTCTCTGGCCATCTCCTGTAGTATATCCGCAGTCTCTGGCCATCTCATGTGCTATGTCCACAGTCTCTGGTCATTTCCTGTAGTATGGCTGCAGTCTCTGGTCATCTCCTGTACTGTGTCCGCAGTCTCTGGTCATCTCCTGTACTGTGTCCGCAGTCTCTGGTCATCTCCTGTACTGTGTCCGCAGCCTCTGGTCATCTCCTGTACTGTGTCCGCAGCCTCTGGTCATCTCCTGTACTGTGTCCGCAGCCTCTGGTCATCTCCTGTACTGTGTCCGCAGCCTCTGGTCATCTCCTGTACTGTGTCCGCAGCCTCTGGTCATCTCCTGTACTGTGTCCACAGTCTCTGGTCATCTCCTGTAGTATATCCGCAGTCTCTGGCCATCTCATGTGCTATGTCCACAGTCTCTGGTCATTTCCTGTAGTATGGCTGCAGTCTCTGGTCATCTCCTGTACTGTGTCCGCAGTCTCTGGTCATCTCCTGTACTGTGTCCGCAGTCTCTGGTCATCTCCTGTACTGTGTCCGCAGTCTCTGGTCATCTCCTGTACTGTGTCCGCAGCCTCTGGTCATCTCCTGTACTGTGTCCGCAGCCTCTGGTCAGCTCCTGTACCGTGTCCGCAGTCTCTGGTCATCTCCTGTACCGTGTCCGCAGTCTCTGGTCATCTCCTGTACCGTGTCCGCAGTCTCTGGTCATCTCCTGTACCGTGTCCGCAGTCTCTGGTCATCTCCTGTACCGTGTCCGCAGTCTCCGGTCATCTCCTGTACCGTGTCCGCAGTCTCCGGTCATCTCCTGTACCGTGTCCGCAGTCTCCGGTCATCTCCTGTACCGTGTCCGCAGTCTCCGGTCATCTCATGTACCGTGTCCGCAGTCTCCGGTCATCTCCTGTACCGTGTCCGCAGCCTCCGGTCATCTCCTGTACCGTGTCCGCAGCCTCCGGTCATCTCCTGTACCGTGTCCGCAGCCTCCGGTCATCTCCTGTACCGTGTCCGCAGCCTCCGGTCATCTCCTGTACCATGTCCGCAGTCTCCGGTCATTTCCTGTATTATGTCTGCAGTCCATTGGTTCAGAATATTTTTTTCTTGTTTTCCTCATCCAAAACCTAGGTTCATCTTAAGGAGCAAAAAATACGGTAAGCTTTGACAAAAAAAAAAAAAAAAAACAAAAACAGGAAGCTGATTGGTTTCTATGCAGAGCTGGACCAGATTTTGCACTCTCCAGTTTTAGTAAAGCATCCCTATAGAGTCTACCATTACCAAGCTTTCTTTATGAAGATGCTAGTTGCCTGACTGCACCCTTGTGGGTTTCTGATCTGGTACAAGTATGCAGATAAGGACTTCTGACTTGATCTGTGCTAGTGACACAAGAAATAATGAAGCCGGTAGATCAAGATAACATCTAGGCAGCCAGCATTTTGAGACGTCAACAATGGTAACCACTATATTTCTGTAAGCGCTTTTTTCCAGGTTTGTATAACTGCAATAGTCTTTAGAGCAGCTTTCCTCAACCTCTGTTTTTTCAACGCAAAGGAACCCTTGAAATAGCTTTCCGTTTCAGGGAACCCCTGACAATAATTACTATGTCTACAGCTTACTGTATATTAGTGTAATGATCAGTTGGAGGAATATCTTACATTTGTGGTCTGTGGCAAAACCCCTGCTCCCCTTTACAGATAGCTAAAAAGATTATTGGATCTCTTATCTAACAGGTAGACATTGCTTTTTGCCCAAGGAACCCTTAACAACCTCTGGAGACCCATGGAACCCTGGTTGAGAAAGGATGCTTTAGAGGCTGTCCCAGCCTCTTCACAGGACTTTAATTCTTAGAATGGGGATGCAACAAGAGATGCATGACAGCCAAAGACGGGCAAGAACAGAATTGAGAATTATAGTAGGGGTTTCTGAGATATCTACACAGCTAAGTATTCTTTTTGGATGGACTGTCTCTTTACGTCAAATTATGTCAGTTGTTGACACAGTTCAGACATTCTGCTACCACCATATTCAGTAGAGTACTGGGAATACTCTCCCAGAGCCCTGGTGTGAAGCAGAGCTTTTATAGAAACAGTGAATACAACAAAAAAAGTGACAGCTAGCTGTATGACATTTCCTTGCTGTGTATGGCAAAACAAAAGGAAGGGAAAATGTGAGGGATGCTGCTGTGCACAAGCCAGAATATTAAATTGCAGAACTCCAAAAATTGAAAACTCCATGCAACCCCAGCATCTTGTAATACATATTCAATATCAATCAATATTATTTACCAGTGTCTGTTTTTGATTTGGGGTACAATCACTTTGAAGCAAATATTTCAGATATTTTATTTCAGGCAGAAAACAAAATTGGTCTTGGACAACATCCTACAGCTATGAAAGTCTTAAATCAGCTTACATGCAAAATACAGTTAAATCCAACAGTGAATGCTATCCAGCAAACTTTTTAAAGTTATGCTTCTGTGCAAGAAGTGTATTTTTAAATTATAAAATATTATATCACAATAATACAGAATATGGGCAACACCTGCTATAAGGAATGTATGCTTCTTATAAGAACATAATAGCATTAAATTTGGCACGCTCAGTGTTTAAATTGGGTTTAGGCACATGGTGCATTTAAAAGTGAATCTAGGAATATGATGTGCATTTAAAAGTGAATACCAACCTAATATGTACGGTATATACACACATAGTATTCATGTGGTTTAGAAGACCTTATTTGGATCAGTTTCTCAGTCATCTTTAATACCTGTATCTCTGTGTTCATGATGCATTTATTTAGTAGGGAGTAGGGAGACCCCCCTGTACAAGGATCATTGACCCACATGCTATCTCATTACCTCTGGATGTAAGTGCCAGTTCTCTTTTTTCCATTTTGTACCTGCTTACAATTGTAACTCTATTCTGTTATAATAAATACTACACTATTGGAGTTTTCTTTCTCTCTGGGCTCATTCCTTGAAAATCGTGAGCCCCCCTCCCTTAAGGTGCTCCATGGTAGGAGACTTACACAAAAGTACATGATCCCCCCGGTGGCTGAAATCCATACTGCAGGATGTATCCAATGTGATGATCATACATTATACTGGAATGAGGAAACCTGCGCTGGTCTGATGATATCTGGTGACTCAACCCCACCTGACGACTTCACCTGTTTGCAGAGTTCCGGTTCCCAGAGTACCGTTGGAGTAGGTCTTATTTACTCCAACGCACATAACCATGTACTATCTGGTTAGTACATTGTATACTCACTTCTCACGAACCACGGAAGTCACGATAATTTAACAGCCATCTAAGGAACCACGATTGCCACGTTGCACTTTTTAAGACTTTTACTCATCCTTTCGCCTATGTCATTTCTATTCGCAATATCAAGCGCTGCATTTTTATTGAGTATTGTACTTTAGTATTCTTCTCTGTGTATATTTTGCTTTCTTTTGGATCTTCATTTCTTACTGTGCATGTAATGACATGGTTTATATTAATTTTTGTAATATTTACCACTAGAACACCCACATCATCTTCACACTTACAAGTATGAGCATGGCTTTATGGGTTATTTTTGACAGTTTTACACTCCATGACTGTAAAGTAATTTGAGTAAAATATAGTGGCACAGTTGATGTTGGTTTAAAGTAGTATTAATCCCATTTTTTTAAAAGCATTTTTTACTTAACACATTGAGCACAATAATATAAACATTTCCCAGTAACTGTTACAATTCTTACCCAGCTTTTGCAGTTTACAATGCAAAATGCTGCTGACTCCTGCTCTCTCAGTGCTAATTTCCTGAAATTCCAGGAGTTACCAGTGGACAGTGCAGTCCAGAGCCAGTCTGCTTGGAGAAGGGAGGAGGAAGAAGCAGTGGAGTGCTTTGCTATCCTAGGCTAAGGACTGTGTTTTTCTATTGATGCACACAGCGCAGTGAAACATAATTCTAGTGCCTGCATGCAGGAGTGGATCAATAGGATGGTGCAAGAGAAAGGAGCCACCTTGAAACAGCAAACCTGGGGCAGCATTTATGGCACCAGCTTAAATTGAAACATAGGTGAGGTTTAATATACACTCACCGGTCACTTTATTGGGAACACCTGTTCAATTGCTTGGTAATACAAATTGATTATCAACCAATCATATGGCAGCAACTCAATGCATTTAGGCACGTAGACGTGGTGAAGACGACTTGCTGAAGTTCAAATTGAGCATCAGAATGGGGAAGAAAAGGAATTTAAGTGACTTTGAATGTGGCATGGTTGTTGGTGTCAGATGGGCTGTTCTGAGTATTTCAAAAACTGCTGATTTACTGGAATTTTCACGCACAACCATCTCTAGGGTTTACAGAGAATGGTCCGAAAAAGAGAAAATATCCAGTGAGTG